GTAATTTTTTTTGGCAAGGAGTAGGCAACTGATGGGCCAGATGCCCCTGGGGTAACAAGGACAGCAGTTAGAATTCAGAGGTCACTACCTGCCTTCTTCTTGTCTCCCGTTCTAACTGCTCCTCGTTATCCTGGGTGTTTCCACATCCATGTATTATGACTGTGTATGTGGTTAACTGATCCCAGACCTCCTGGCTTCCTGTGAGAACTTCAGAGCCAGTAGCCTGGGTTCAAGTCCTTCCTCTACCACTTTCTATCTGTGATCTTGGATACAATGCCCTTTGCCTCAGTTTCTTCATCTGGAAACAGATCTAATAATAGCAACTACTTCACAGGTTTTAAAAATTAAAAAAAAACCCCAACTTGATTTGAGAGAGAGAGAAACATCACTTTGTTGTTCTACTTTTTTATGCATTCACAGGTTGATTCTTGCATGTGTCCTGACAAGAGATCAAACCCGCAACCTTGGTGTATTGGGACAACGCTTTAACCAACTGAGCTACCTGGCCAGGGCTACTTCACAGGTGTTGTTGGAATACCTAAGCAAAAACCAGTCAAGTGATTGAGACTGGTCCATGATGGCCCATGGACCAGGATCTGGCCCATGATGTTTATTCCTGCTGGGGAGAAAGTTCCATGAGAACAGGGTCTGTCCAGCCTATTACTGGATCGAGGCATCTAGTATACTGTCAGTCACCCAATGTTTGTGGATCAATAAACAAACCTCCCCTCCTCAGTAGGCCTAGCCCCTATGTGGTGACCCTGTTTAAACATTAACTCAGTAAAACTATAACCATTGTTATTGATAATAGTTGCAACAGTAGCAAATACCTTCAGGCTAAAATCTGAGGTGGGGACCATTTATAACCTGTGGAATCCCTTCTGATCTACAAAAAAAAATGTTTAATACTCTGTATTGTCACCAGCTTACTTTCTGTTACTAAAACAGGTTCATCCCTAGCAAATCTCTCATTTTCTTAACATCTAGGGTCCCTGAGAATAACAAAGGAAAAAATGTAAAGCCCTCATAAGCCTTCCAGGGACAGATGAATAAAAGCAGCACCATCTTGAGAAGGTTCTCAGCTCTTGAAGGCCAAAATGGTATTCCTGCTACAAAGGCTCACTGGTGTGGGGCAGAGGTGATAGGGGGATCTCCCCTCCCTTTGGAAACTTTCCAAGGCTGATGAACGGAGCTCTTTCTGTGGAAGAGCTCCAGGCCCTGTTTCAAAAGCGAATGAGTAGAGAAGACTGTCAGCTTCTAAAACCAACCAAATATTTACTGAGCATTTCCTATGTGCCCTAGAGTCAACCGTGAGCAGCTATGCACCCTGCCCTTGTGGGGCTCACCGCCTGGTATGAGAAACAGACACCAATAAAACAATCTCACAAACACATCCAGTGCACTGAGAAGTGGAAGAGAAGTGTAGTCAGTTAATCTCTTCCTAGCTCCAGTGGGTTAATTCTCATAACTAACCCCCTTCCTTCCACTGTCTCCATTGGGCTCCTAGACAGTGTGTGCTGCAGATTTCCCTGGGTGGTGGGGTCTGCTGCCTTTCTGAGTTCTGCCAACTATGGATCGCTATGACCAGGGAGTGTCCTGGTGTGTGCCCTGTGAATTGCCTTTGAAACATGAAGGCTTATGGGATGAGGTCCACCAGAGAGGCACGCTTCCCTGAATGTATCATGCTTGCTGCTGCTTGCTGGGCCTCTGACCAAGCACTCTGGCTGCCTGGAACACTCCATACATCATCCCTTCTCCACCTTCCCTGACACCCCAGAAATGTACAGGGCTCTTTCCTGTGTTCCCACAGCAGCATTCCATACATAATTCAGTTTCGTGCTTCCACACAGGAGGATGTGATGGTAAGGGCATGGTGCCAGAATCCCAGTATCTCCAGGTTGTCTGGAGGATTAAATGAGATACTATGCAAATGGTGCCTGGCATAGGGCCTAGCATGTGGCATGGGCCTGATCAGTGTGCACTACTGTTGCCAGCTTGTCTTACCGCATAGAGAGGGTCCTTAGATGCAGAGTAGGTACCATCTTTGATATTCTTTCAGACTCTGGAATCTAACTCGATTCCCAGTGTGGGACTTCCCCAAGAACAATCAGCATCTACATTTTGCATGAGGAAGTTGAGATCACCTTCCCACTTGGCCCCTGCACCCATCAAAGCACATACATACACAAAGACACAGACCTGTACCCCAGTCTGGGGTAAAAGTGCATCAATATTGTTCATAAGCCCTCCTGGGGAGCCTTCTCATGTTTTCCTGAGGAGTTCACAGTCTTTCCCGGGGAGCTCTCTGACCCCACTGCCCCCATAGAAGGTCCCACCCTGGGGAGGCTGTACGTTGTTTCTTGTTGCCTCATGACCTTCAACAGTCTTCATTTACTTTCTTCCTTCAGCAAGTGGGCAGAATAAACCTCTCCCTACCCAATGTCAGAGGTCCATTGTGGGTGGGGGTGGAGGTGGGGATGGGCACTGCCAGCAAGCAGGCTCCGTACTGCCCTCTGTCTCCCAACACAATAGACCATCTCTCATCCCTGATTCAAGCTGGCTTCCTGTAGGGCAGCTTGGCCACAGAGAGACAATCATTATCCAGTGATGTATCAACTAAGTACAGCCAGGGTACAGGATGGCTAGTGATTCTGTTCACACTCTTAGATGGGCGAGTGCCCTCCTGGACTCCATTGACTCCTTCTGCATGGTGCCCAGGGGATATTCAAAGCCATATCCTAACCTCATTGGCTCCCCTGCAGTATAAACTACTGTTCTAAGAATTTATCCCCCCACTTTCCAGATCGAGAAGTTCAGGCCCTAAGCCAAGATGTGCTTTTTTCCAGGCCTTCCAGAATTCACTGGTGAATATCCACAAAGAAGCCTGCTTTGTTTACCTAGGATTTGCTAGGGATGCTGGAAGGAGCCCAGACAGGCAGTGCTGGGATTGGACTGATCTGGAGTCCATATAGGGGGACCTGGGGCTCCTCCTTACTCCCTGCAGTCTGGTCATGCCATCTTGCCAGTTCTGTTATCTGCTCTCCTCTCCTGTCTCACCTCATTCCTGTGTCAGGGCCAACCAAGCCAAACAACAAGCAGTTCCTTCCAAATGACCAGCAGTCAACAGCAGAAGCTCTGGGGAACCCACAGGTTGGACCCAAGGGTGACGTTGGTGAGGTGGCAAGACAGGCAGGAAGAGCCAATACAACACAAAAAGATACTTGGACACAGGTCCTCTAGCTCCATCACTGCCCAGCTGAGGGAAAAAGCAGCCCACATTTTCCCTTTTGAAAAGAATCCTTAACAAAGAACTGTCTGCTTCTGGCAGGCCCGAACCCAAGCCCCACAGGGTCCCAAATGCCAGGAGAGAAGGAAGCTGTTTCATTTGGCATAGCATACGAGTTGTGGGTGAAAGAACTGACATGGACTATCAGAGGCTGCCCCTGGACAGCAGCACTGGCCCTGCCATCTGAGGCCAGTAGGTGTGATGGGGTCAGCATGCTGGTCCTGCCAGTCTGGGCAGACTTCAGGCCCAGGGACGGGAGCAGCCTGAACTCCCTCTCCCTGCCAGGGGTGGCAGAAATCAGGGGGCAGGCAGGGAATTTTAGGGACACTTCGGTGTAGGAGAGAGAGCATCCTTCCTTTGGAAGAAGGGCAAAGTTTGGAGAGATGCATAAAGGGGAAGAGGCCTGCAGCAGGTTTCCACAGGGTGCTGGGAGATTCCGGGTCACCTTACCACTCCAGGTCCCAGTGGGGGTGCCAGCTTAGGGAGGTTGCTGTGGCTGGGCAGACTGGCTGTCTGAGGTAGGGCAGCCAGAGTGTCTGAGTCTCAGCCAGAGCTGGGAGTGCCGTGGCCTCTAGGAGGACCTGGGAAGTTAAGGTTCAAGAAGGGGTGAAGGCCCTGTGTGAGTATGTGCGTGCATGTGTGTGGTTCCAACTGCCTGGTCTGTGTTGGAGGTCCTGAGTTTCTTTGTGTATGTTGGGGGTTCAAGTGTTTGATTGTGTGTATGTATGTGTATGTGTGCATGTCAGGGGCTCCTGAATGTCTATGGTGGGTACCAGGATGCCCATCAGTATGCTTTTTTTTTTGGGGGGGGGATGGTGGTGGTTCATGAGTATCTCTCTGTGTGAGAACTATGTGTGTGTGAGCTATGTGAGGCTCTCAGAAAGACATGTCTATGGGTGGGGAGGGGGGTTCATAACAATTGGGAGGTAGTGCTGAGCAAGAGGTGAGTGTGGACTTCCAGGAAGCAGAGATCAAGATGAGTCAGGAAGTCAGACTCAGGGGTGTGTGTGTGTGTGTGTGTGTGTGTGTGTGTGTGTGTGTGTGTGTGTGTAGCTACTGGAGTGTGCTGGGAGGACCCCAGGAATGACTTTCAGGGGTAGTGAGGTGAGGCCTGTGGACAGGAATCCTGATTTATAGAGGCTAGGCAGGGGTCCTGTGGGGTCAGAAGGTGGGGACAGGGAGGGCCCTGAGGCTGGTATCCTTGGGGGTGGGGGCAGGTATAGGCCGACAGGATAGGAAGTGAGAGGGACGTGGTGGTAAGGGTTCTACAGATGGGAGGGATCCTAAGGGGTCAGAAGGGGTGATGTTGTCCTGGGCCTGCAGGAGCAGGTCTGTGGGACAGGGGCTGGGGGTGGCCCTGAAGGGTCCCGGGAGGGGTCCTGAGAGTCAGTAAAGAAGGTAGGCGAAGGTCCTTGCCCTGAGGGGACTCCCCGGGAGGGACAGGGTGGGGGTGGGGGGACTCTCGAGAGAGTCTGGGGAAGGGCCCTGAGAAGTGGGGAGGCGTCAGGAACAAGGGTGGGCGGAGGTCGGAGCCCGAGGCTGACGGCCAGGGGGCCAGGGGGCCAGGGTTCGTGCTGGGAGTGCAGAGGGTTCCCAGTGCGGGGTCCTGACGAAGCGACCCCACTCCCGGTCTTGCCCGGCCCCCGTGGGCCACAGCGCGGAGTCGCTGGCCTGAGAAGGCACCCAGGGGGCCTGGCCCACGCCGCCTCCCTACCTGCGCTGAGCGCGCCGCCATCATCTTGCCGACCCTCGCAGTCCCGGGCTGTGCCGCCCGATCCCCGCCGCGCCGCTAGCACCGCAGCACGGGCCCGGCCCCCTCAGCCGCCCCCCGGGACCGCTGCGGCCGACCGCTCAGCCGCTGCCATTTCACCGGCTGACAGGGGCCTCTGCCCCGCCTCCGAGGCCCAGTCAGCCAATTCACCGCCCCTAGTTACCCTGGCTCCGCCCACAAGACAGGAGTGACGGGATGTTTGGCCAGTCCGTGGCCATTCCGTGAACAGTATTCTGGCTACGGCCAAGAAGGTTGCCTCCTCCGAAGAGAAAAGCAAATTGAAATTAGGAAAGCAGTGAAGGACGGGTGCTTTTGCCTATCGGAATATGGAGTACTGTTGATGAACACCTGGAGAGGCCAATAAAGAGGAAAGAGGGGTGTGTCCCTGAGAGAATTCTGCGGCCTTGAGGAACACCAGACTGAAACAGCAAGCTTTTGGCACTAAGCCCCACCCAGAGCCGGGCTCTCTGCCCTATAACGAGACATCCTGAGATGTTCATTTTCGTCTACCCCTTAAACCAAGCCATGACAACTGTTGGGGGAGTCTATAAAGATTGACAACTGAAGGAGGGCGGTGAAGTAACACTCTGTAGCCAATGGGATCATGTTATTGGTGTGCGGTTAGCTTGAAACCTACACTGAATGACATAGGGGAGGGGCTTAGGGGGCGTGACCTAGGCAGCGGTGGGGCGGGACCAGATAAGGGAGCGACTAAGGGTTGGGTCCGATAAGGGGCGTGGCCAGAAATCCCTAAGGCTGAAGGGAAGATAAGGGGGCGCGTTATTGAGCCCAGTTCTGTGCTGGAGGTAGGGCTATTGGGGGTGTAGATCACACCAAAGACTCTGGTCGGTTCCTTCCCCTAGTTTGTCTAGGCCGGATCTTCTCTGAGACTCACAGTACCTTCTGTTCCCTCATTAAAACTCTGATCAGGCTGTGTTATCGCTACTTACTTGGCCCTCCCATTCTCCACCCCTGAAGGCTGTGGTGGGGTAAGCCTAAATCAGGTCTGGAGGGATTCCCAGCATTGTTGAGTAGAGGCCCGGCTCATAGGACTGCTTATAAATGTTTGCTGAACAAATGACTAAATGAACGGTGGGCCAAAGGCTCAGGACTTGTAGGGACAATGACTGACAGCCTGCAAGACTTAGCAAAACAGGCAAGTACCCACCCCAAGTTGCAGGAATGGGTCCTACAGGGGTGGGGCAGGGAAAGACCCTGTCACAAGAGGGTGACATCATAAATTCAGAATGGGGACTGAAAATTGGGAACAGGAGGGCTGGGACCCAGGGTGGGCATTCCAGGACCTTCTAAGGTCTAGCTTTCAACCTTCTAAATAGTAGGGAGTTCTGTCTGGTTTGGGGAGCAATGGCTGACACCCCTTTGCTCCCTGTCCCTGTCCATCAACCTCTGCCTTTTTACATTCTGTCCCATCTACATTTGTCCCTGTCTGCACTCTCTGCTGCTGTCTCTACTCTCCCTCTGTCTCTGCATGTCTCCTCTGTCTTCTCTCTTTATCTATATTGTAGCTATGAAAATTCTGGAACAGTTAAGAAAAGCCCCAAAACATTATTTCTAAAAACTCTGGTGGTAAAAATGAATATAATGCTTTCTGTCTCCCTCACAAGCCCCTCCTTCATTTTCTTTTTTCCCTCCCTCCCTCCCTCCCTCCCTTCCTCTTTCCTTCCTTTCTTCCTTGAAAGAATAGATCTTTATGTCCCTCCTTTAAAACTCAGCTTTGGCTCTGACTAGTGTGGCTCAGTGTGTTGAATGTCATCCGGCAAACCAAGAGGTCTCCAGTTCAATTCCCAGTCAGGGCCCAAGGTTGGGTTGTAGGCAGGTCCCCAGTTGGGGGTGTACGAGAGGGAACCAATCAATGTTTCTGTTGCACATCAATGTTTCTCTCCCTCTTTTTCTCCTTCCCTTCCCTCCTCTCTAAAAACAAATAAATAAAATCTTAAAAAAAAATAAAGTGTTTAAAAGTCAACTTATGTGTTGGGCATTCTATAGTCCTGACGAAGTTAAAAGTGACTTTAGAATTGGTGAGTTTGAGGCTGAAATTAATTTATGGACATTGTCCCCTGATTTCTGAGTAGGCCTAGAATGGGATTACAGATCCTGTGGACATGGTTGGAGATGAGATGCAGGGTGTTGACTCAGGAGGGCAAGGATGACATCAGGATCTGGTAAGGGCCAAGTAACCATATGGGACAACCCCTGAGCATGGAGGACTGAGGAGCCATCATAAGGGCCAAAGTCTCAGGTTTGCCCATGTTTCCAGAGGTCACTTCTTAGGAAAGAACATTCTGGTGTGAGCCACAACTTCAGATGAACAGAAAAACCTGGATGTGGGGAGGTACAAGCCTGGGTGTGGTCCATGGCCCCCAGAAAAAGGTCACAACCAGTTTGTTTCTGGGGCCTTGTGGGGAGAGAGGGACATCTGGTGTCTAGGGGATCAAATAAAACACCAGGAAGGTGCACAGGACATTTAACTCTCTCATTCTTATACTGCCATTTCCAGACAAACAATGATTTTATTCTGGGGGCACTTTGATTCCGTTTTTATAAACACTGGGAAAATATATCCAGCAAATTTTTGTTGGAAAAGACTTTTGAATCATAAACTGCATTTAGCCAATGAGATTCCTGGGTCACTTTTCTATTCAGTGCAGTTAAACCATTCCCAAATTTTTCTCAAAGTTCATTTTTACTTGACTGAAGTCTTTTATTGGGAATGTTTTTCCCCATGTGATTTTTGCAGTAAACATTTAAGTCATCAATCAGGCTCTTTTTGCCCAATTTTTACCAGCTATTGATTTTTATCACTGTGATTTGTGTGTGTGTGTGTGTGTGTGGCTGTCATTTCTTTGGAGTCAAGTTTTGCATATTTAAATTTATTAAAAGACTTTTTTCTCTCAGTATTTAGCCATAACAAATTTTAGCACAATCAAAATTTTTTTCTGGTTTAAATTTTGGACTAAAAATTCATTTGTTATGAATATTGATTAATGTGAGTTTAGACTTCATACTTGTCTTATAGAGAGCAAATGAGGTGATGATATTTGTGGCTGTCTTCCAATAAAGAGGCAGAGTCTGTTTCCCCATCACTTGTTCTGACCAACAAAATGCATCAGAGCTGTTGCTGGGCTAGTTCTGAGCCTAGGCCTTAAAAGGCATTGCAGCTTTGGCTTTTTTTAGTACAATTTTTAATTGTGGTAACAAATACAAAACATAAAACTTGATATTTTAAGTGTATAAGTTGGTGGCATGAAGCATATTCATAATGTTGTGTAATCTTCACTATCTATTTCCAAAACATTTTCATCATCCCCAAGTAGAAAGATTAAACACTAACTCCCCATACTCCCTCCACTCAGCCCCTAATAACCTCCATTCTACTTTCTGTCTCTGAATTTGCCTACTTTATGTAGCTCAGATAAATGGAATCACAAATATTTGTCATTTCATGCCTGGGTTACTTCACTGAGCATAATGTTCTTAAAGTTTATCTGTGCTATATAGCAAGTATCACAAATTTATCCCTTTTTATGACTGAATCATATTCCATTATATGTATTTTTGTTTCCTTATTCACTGATCTGTTGAAGGACTCTTGGGTTTTTCCCACCTTTCAGTAATTGTGAATTATGCTGCTGTGAATATGTGTACACAAGTACTGTTTGAGTACCTGCTTTCAATTCTTTTGATTTACACCTAGGAGTGGAGTTGCTGGATCCTATGATAATTCTTTGTTTAGCTTTTTGAGAAAATTTCATACTATATTCTTGCAGGGACTGTACCATTTTACATTCTTCCCACAATGCACAAGGGTTCCAATTTCTCCACATTATCACTAATATTTGTTAATTTTAAAAAATTGTAGCCCTGGCTGCCATAGCTCAGTGGATTGAGCATAGGCTGCGAACCAAAGTGTCGCAGGTTCAATTCCCAGTCAGAGTACATGCCTGGGTTGCAGGCCATGACCCCCAGCAACTGCACATTGATCTCTCTCTCTCTCTCTCTCTCTCTCTCTCTCTCTCTCGCTCTCTCTCTCTCCCTCCCTCCCTCCCTCCGTTCCCTCTCTAAAAATAAATAAATAAAATCTTTAAAATTTTTTAAAAAAATTGTAGCTATTGCCCTGGTTGGGGTGGCTCAGTGGATTGAGTGCCAACCTGCGAACCAAGGGGTTGCCTGTTGGATTCCCAGTCAGTGCACATGCCTGGGTTGTGGGCCAGGTCCCCAGTAGGTGGCGTGTGAGAGGCAAACACACACTGATGCTTCTCTCCCTCTCCTTCTCCCTCCCTTCTCTCTTCTCTCTTAAAAGTAAATAAATAAAATCTTAAAAAAAAAAAGAAATTACAGCTGTTCTAGAAGGGGTGAAGGTGTTATCGCATTGTGATTTTCATATGCATTTACCTAAGTGTGGAGGATACCAGTCCAGCGGTATCTATCATAGCTGTGGATGCTCGTCAAAACACGAGAAAAACATGTACAGAGACAACCGAGTCCTGTGGGGAAATAGGTACGAAATGGCCACTCTCTCTAGTGGAGAGCCACTGTTCTCCCACCCAAGCAGGCTTTTATTGGGTTCGTTTACTCAGGAATTCAGGTAAAGCTCATTAATGATTGACAGGAAGTAAGGATTAAACAATAGATAACAAAGAAGTCTGAGGGCCTATTTTGAGTCAGGGTCAGATAGCTAAAGAGCTGTAAAACTTTGAGGAATAAACTTACTTCTTGCTTGGACCCATATCATTTCATTGAGAGCATTCTAAACAAAGCAGGTTTCACAGGATTTTACATAGTCTTTTTTAGGCCTGATCACCCAGGGAACCCGCCCTTTCCAGCACAGGGTTGTACCACCCTCTGTCATTGTTTCAGGCTTAGGTGGGAAGGAAAGTAAGGCAGCCAAGAGATTAGGAGATTTTCTCGCAGACAATAAGGACTCAGGCTATGTCAAAGCTGAGGGGCGAGGGTCCATCACTCCCTTTTGCTGTAGCTCCCAAAGTCCTTCATTGGGGGCCTCCCACGTGATCGTGCCTGTCTTAGGTTGTTCCCCCCTTGGGGAATCTTACCCATCATTGG